CCTCACAGCATGCCCTTTATTTGGAATTGAACGCACTAATTTGTCCTGCATTAACCTCCCTGATTTCATGCCTGCTTTTATAGTTATAGGAGCTTTATGTGAATTAACAGCTGCATATACAGTAATAGAATGGAGGCCAAAATTAAATTGAAGATCTATATTTTATCAGAGTGAGAGCAAGCACTCTCAATGGTTGTATTACACACACACGAAACATGGTTCTCCTTTCCAAAAAATGGAATTATTTACAACAACAAATGAGCCTATAAGAGTTTATACATTGTAAAAAATTTGCTGATATGTCCAGATCATGAGATGGTGACATTTTCTGGAGGGGTTAAACTTTGCTTTCATTGACTACAGTACCATTCCAGTATTTGCTTATTCTGATACACCACAGATAAGTTCTATACCAAATTAGTCACTGGTTTACCTTGTTCCTGAAGCTGTTTCAGATGGTTCAATCCTTCTTGGCATCTACAGTTTGTTTTGTAGCAAACCAACAGTTCATTTTGAAGCTTCTGGTTTTACATTCTGGCTTCTTGCAGTTCTATTAAAGTTTTAGCCTTTTGTTGGTCCAGCATATTTTCCTTCTTCGCAGCTTGCTGTAATAATTGTCCAGTCTCTTTTTTCACATTTTGTTTTATTTCAAGCCTGGATTTCATCCATATGCTGCTTCAGTGGATGTGTGGATTCCTCTGAGTCCTGCTTAAGTTATTTTACTAGAGCATCATTGTTGGCAGCTATTTCTGAAAAGACTATCAAATAAGAGATTTGCATCTCCCCTGTTGTGTGTGCTGTGTCAAATAACTCCACAGAGACCTGTATCCTGTCAGCAGGTCACCCTTTATTTACATGCGGAGAGTCCTTCACACTGATGCAGCTCCCTCAGAGCCAGTTCTTACAGCGTCAGGATGTCTGACTCTTCCGTTCTTATCTGCCAGCCAGGGTTCCCTGATTGAACCAGGTTAACAGCCCCAATCAGGGAACTCAAATTCTATGAGGTCCACCTGACTGACCTCATTACAATCACTACATCCCCTCCCCCCCCACCCCCCGAGTCTGAGAACATAGGCTGGTTCTCTTTCTTGTAGCTCCTCCTGGGGCATTTTAGCACCAGGCCACGTTCCTCCAACTCTGCCTCTGATACGGACAGCATTTAATGCACAATAGCTCGCCTCTCATGCTCAAAGCATCTCAGAGGAAATTTTCTCTTCTACAAGCAGCAAATGCATCGAGGAAGCGACATCTGTCGTGTCTATCTCAGATTCCAGGGTCTCTTCAATGCTTGATGGAAATAGAGAACCCATGTGTTCCAGAACAGTCAGAAAGGCTATCGAGGAGCTGGGCATGTTTTGCTCCCATATCATTTGCGAGTTTACAGCTTTCATATGGTCCATGTGCTTGTTCAGAACCGTCGCACTTACCTGAACTTTGTACGTCACCAGACGTGACCTCGCATCAACCATACCTCTTACCCCCATGCAGGGCCAGTCCCATGCTTCTGACACCAAACTTAGTCCTGTGAAGTAAACTGTCTCTCTTGCTTAACAGAAACTTGTGTCTGACACTGGTGTTCCTAATGCCATTTCACCCTCACCCAAGTCCTGGAAGATCAGGTTTAACCTGGTACGGTGTCTTGTCCCCATTAGCAACTTTGTTGGAGCTATCCCTATAGTTGAATGATGGATGGTCCTACGAGCTAATAATACCCTGATACTATATGGGGAAACATTGCATGTCAATACCAGATCTCACTTGAGATCATAGTGTGGCAACACCTTAGAGGATGATATCTATTTCTTCACTTCCCTGAAAGCCATGACTTGGCTACGCGACCTTTTCCAAGGCTGACCCCTTTTTAAGAACTGATGGAAAGGTGCCAGGATGGAGGCCAGGTTATGAATGAACTTTCTGTAACAGTTTACCAGCCCATGCAAAGACCTTAGCTCCAGTAGAGATGTGGGAGCCAGGGCACCTTTGATCATCCTCACTTTATCTTTATCTTCCAATGGGTGTAACCTGGTCTTGTCAATTCTGTAGCCCAAGTAGGTCACTTGGGGTGCCTAGAACACACATTTTCCCTTCTAAGGCATATGACCACCTAGAAGAAACACCTAAGGACTGAGTCCAAGTTCTCTAAGTGCTCCTTGTTGGTCTTCCCTGTTATTAGCATGTCATCTAGATAAATGGCAACCTGAGGTGGCCTTTGTAAAATGTTCTCCATCATCTGCTGAAATATTGCACTGGCAGTCTTGTATATTGGTACAAACCCTTATGGGTATTATTTGTAGCATATCTCTGTGAATCCTCATCTAACCACAATTGCAAGTACACATGGCTCATATCCAGCTTTGTGCAGGACATCCCCCACCCCAACCAGTATAAATCCTCCATGTGAGAGATTAGGTATTTAAAAGCAGTTTACCATTTGTTTAAAATCCCCACAAAGGCAAACCACCCATCGGTACGACTGGTGCTACCCATTCCAAAAATCTGTACTGATTTGATGATTCCTTTGCTTTCCTGCCATCTGATTTCTGCCTGGTGTTGTGGAATTGTGGAATTGCTTCCTGGTCAACACACAAGGTGGCTTTCCGGGTATTTAATTAGGACTTCGCTCAGGCAGCCATTTTTGATTAAAAAAAACGTTGATCCAATCTACGTGAAGCTTTCTCAACAAATTGCACCCCATCAAGCTTGGGCCCGGGCCTTTTACTACAATTATTCGTAACTGAACCAATTGTTTCTCATAAGAGACTGGAGACAAAGTTGTACTCTTAATCTGTCAAGGTTCCCCAGTATAGCTTCTCAGTTTAGCGGAGGTCTTGTGCAAACCTAAGGTTTGAAATCCAGAGTGAATTTTTCTAATGGCTAGTTCTGTGCTCACTGAAACAACCAGACTGGCATCGACCTCCATTAGATACAGATGACCATTTAACCAGACGCTTATTTTGATTTGGACGTTGGTAATCAATTTAACTGCCCCAGCCCAGATGTGGTTGGACTTTCCAGCCTGTGCACTCACATGGATATAGGCCCATGAGTTCACTTATTCAATTTAGGTCTAGTGAGACTCTTTCACTGTCTCAAGTCCGCATACCAGCAGCAACTACAATGGCTTGCCCACTCGGATTCTGAAGAAAATGTTAAGCATTTAGCCAAGGCTTGGCTTTGTTCTAAGGTTTGGCTGTGGGTTGACCTAGTGTCTCTCTGTTCAGGATATGTCCTGAGTGTGGCTATGCAATTGCCTTCACTCAAGTGACGTTGCCCTAGCTCAGTCAGACTGGCAACAGTATCCACTTCCATCAGAATACCCTGCAACTCATATGCTCCACTTGCTGCATTTACCAATGATAAATCCAGTTGTAGTATCTGTTTGAAGTGCAGTTGGGCTTCAGCTAGTAGGTGCTTTTGCATGGTTACATCATTAATCCTACTCTTGTCACCAGTGAAATAACTCCGTAGAGTCCAGTGTCCCATCCCCAAGTCACCCTATGTTTAAATGTTGAGAAACCTTGACACTGATCCAGTTTCCTCAGAGCCAGCTGCCAGAGTGACAGGATGTCCGACACTCCTCTCTTTATCTGTCAGTCAGGACTCTCCAGACCAGATTAATAACCCCAATCATGGAGCTCATACTCTATGAGGTCCAGCTGGCTGACCTCATTACAATCACTAATTACACTGTGTAATCTGTTTTTACAGCTCTGTAATTTTCTACAGGATAACATTACGTTCAAGCCACTGTTTCTGTAGCTGTTCCTGCTGTGCCTAATCTCTTTTATGAGTGAGTTGCTCTTGATTTTCCTGTAAACCTGCGACTTTTCATTGGATTGTAGATACAGAGTTTTTGGCTCATGTTACTTCCTTTCATTCTCCTCCAGTTCTTCACCCACCTTTGTGAGTTTAGAAAAGGTATCCCCTCACCTGTAGATGAAATTCCTTGCTGCCTGTTCAAGCAAGGTAGGCCTCATCAACACAATTATTTTTCCACCACTGCCACCATGTCACGTTGATGATGATGATCTAATAATCATTTAATTATCTTAAGGGATTGATTAACTCAATAGATGGGTTTATTTCAAACAGTAAAGCACATCACAAATTATGAAGCACGAGTTATCAAGCAAACCAACCGATTTTGGTGTGCAGCTTGTAAACCCAAGACAATCAATTGAATCCAAATGCAAACCCTTTAAAAGGCAAGGTACACTTACAACAAAAAGCAATGGATGCATGGGAACCCCACCACCTGCAAGTTCCTCTCCAAGTCAGATGATCATGACTTGGACACTATTACTATTCCTTTCAATATTGCTGGACCAAAGTCTGGGAATCCTGCCCTAGTACATGGATAGCAGTAGTTCAAGAAACTTTCTCACCACTCGAGTCCTAATGGATGGATAATGAATACTGGCCTTGCCAGTGACAACCAAAAGTTAAGTTAAAAATACATTTTTAAAAAATTAAACTGTAATGGTTAAATGGGGACTTCTATATTCACAAAAAAAGGAAAGAACAGAGTTCTACATGTGAACTCTGTTACAGATGAATCTTGTGCAGCCTACAGTTTAGTATTAGCTGGAATCTGCAGCTCAATCTTGTGAAACAGAAGTCAGTATTGACATAAGATTTCAAAGAGACTTGGAGTCAGAAAGGATTTAGAGATAGGCTTGTTTTGGACACTGTTAAGGAATAGAGCATTTTTTGGTTGGAAGAAACAATGTTCAGATTCAAGAAATTGTTTCTAAATGTTCAACACTGCACATGGCTTGGAAAATAAAATAAATCATTAAATATAAAAGAAATACTGTATAGTTAAATACTTTAGAACTTTCTTAGCAGAAAACAACATTAAAGTATTAAGTTGAGATGCCTGCATTCACAACCATTAAAAAGGACAACTTTTAAAATATAGAATAAATCTAACATGAATGTAACTACTGTAAATATATGTTAAAATTACACCCATCTTTAATTTTTCCATTTCCATCCAGTGGCAGAAGGTGGACAGAACAGTTACAACTGAAGTGCAGGACTGCACCAACCAACCACTGCCACACCAGGGACCCAATATTCCAGTACAAGTTCGGAATGGGAGCCAGGAGAGCATGGCACTGGAAACTTTAAAGATAAGAACAGAAGGCAAGAGTAAGAGCTGAGGTGGAGAAGTGTGACTGAGGACAGGGCAGGGTTAGAAACCACTGGAAGGCCAGGGGGGCTTCAGGACTGAATGTAGTGGAAGCAATGACTTCAGATCAGGCAGGCCACAGAACAGGAAGCTTGTGGCAAACAATGTTTAATTGAAACTCTCAATTTAAATGAATATATTGTCACTATTTAATTAATGATGTCAATGTGAAACAATGTTAACTGAATCAACTTAAAATGGGGCCCTGCTGTGCTCAGATGACACGGAAACAATCATCTACAAGTGATACACAATATAATTACCTATATGTGGCATAGATAATAATATCTTTACATGCAAGTAAAATATACGTTTAAGTGTAGGCAACAGATACCTACAATAATGCTCTGGTGACACAAGAACAATTTGCTATTGTTATTATTCCTTCTTAATTTTGTCGTGTTTTGTCTGCTCTCTCTAACGGTAGTCGATTTGTTTCTCTATGATTGCTCTATTACTACATCAATAAAAATTATTCATTGCCAGTTTGATCTCTGCAAAGCCTTTTCCTTCTCTGCCTAAACTCTGCTTTCTCTCCACAGATGCTGCCAGACCTGGTGAGTCTTTCCAGCAATTTCTGTTTTCGTTCCTGCCCATCTCTACAGCATTCCCATCTCATTATCGTCTCAATGTTTTAGAATTCTGAAACTCTCCCTTCTACGGCAGGCCTACACTGGTCATCCTATACCTCCCTCAGCAGTTAATCACTTTGTCCCTCAGGGTATAATCCAAATTTTGAAGTGTCAGATCATGTCATCTAAATTTTTTTTATTGGGTTGTCACAAAAAAGTAAGTTTCCTGTAGGATGGCTAATAATGTTAGAGCAGGTCCAGAGAGTACTGCAGCCTGACTCTCCTCTGCTGAACTATTCCTTTCAATTCCGTTCTGTAGGCTGACCACCCTCTGAAATAGGTTATCTTTTGGGTAATATGTAACTATGACCTTTAACCAAGTATTCCTGTGAATTAGCAATATATGTCACTGGCTTTGCAGACACATATCAGACATGCTGCATACATCACAAGTCTAGCTCCTGACCTTGCCATTCCAATGTTCATCACTGCTGTGTTACCCTTGGATTAAGTTGTTAGATTTAATTCACACTTACCTGCCTGATCTTGCCGAGTCAGGCTTACAATGAGTCGAGTTTTAAACAGATTCCCTCTCCTTTTTCGTGAGTTCCATTAGCCAACAATTGTGTTTTTAGCCAGCAAAATTATTAAAATACCAAGATAACTTTGAAGATATTTTTAACTTCAAGTTAAAAAAAAAACACCAATTTAGTCGTGAGAGAAAGAAAAAAGTTTATTCAAACCTGGGGCTATCTCAGAAGGAAATTTAATTATCAGCTAGCAGAGAACAGTCTACAACATTAAGTATAATTTGTTGTTATTTGAGACACGAAGGAATGATCTGAACATTCAACCTTCGTAAGAATCTTGATAACTTAAAAAGGGTTCTGAAAAATAGTAGCAAAGTGGTTCTAGATTCTGGGTTCTAAGCTATGAGAAAAACTTATTTATTTTCACTGCAAGAAAATTAATTTGGAGAATCCTTTATAATGTGGAAATAAACAGGTGAATTGTTTTTAGAAGCGGGTTACTTACCACAGGATTGAATTAAAGGACAAATTAAAAGTGGAGATAAAAGAATTCTCTGTGCATTAGTAAATATGCAGACTTCAAACAGAAGTATTAAGTGCTAGTTGATTTTTTAAAAAAGAAACTAGATGAATTTGTAGGTCTGTATGAGATTGAAGTTGTAAAGGATAAATGTAGGTAATCAAGTAAGTGACAGAATGCTTTGAGTCTCCACTTCAAAACCCTGAGGAGTAAAGGCATTGTGGTAATTTTGTCCAAAGTGTATGAGTAATGTGTTGAGTTTGGAAACTGACAATCATTCATATTTGTTTTTTTTTGGATATTGCAGATCTCTGCTTCTCAGGAAATAAAAGTTTTAATGGCTGATGTAAGTCAGGTGTAGCTACAGTTCACCACATTTCAGATCTCACAACGGCAGCATTAGTACAAAACCTCTGTTTGTGGTCAATCATTTGTCCATGTTCCATGAAAGATAAATGAAACTGCCTGCTCTCTGAACAGTACATCAATCATGCCCAATCATCACCAGATTCCTGAAATGACCACATTTCCAAAAAATTGATAGTAGCTGTTAACTTCATAGCCACAGGCAGAGCAGTAGGCAACTCTCCTCAAATTGGGTATTACAGTTAGAACTAACTCCGTCATTACCCCGCTACTGAATCTGAACTTGTGAAAGGCACCAGTCTTCTGGCATGTCAAAATGATCACAATGTGACCAAAAGCCTTTCACAAAAAGTGAAGGCTAATTAGAGATTTTCTCCTTATGTTATTATATCCTTATCCTGATGTTTCATGTTTCATCTGACAATCTTAATACATGGAGGATTGAGGTGGTAGCATCCATGGTAATGATCAAAATCACAACCTTTACTCATGTGCTGAAGTGAGACTAGAAATTGGTAATTGGATCTGTACCTTGACAACTGACTGATCACGGAAAATGCTGGAATCACTCAGCAGGATTCATTGATATCTTTGTTCACAAGTGGTTAAATCTCTTTCTGAAAACTATCTCAAAGATGTTTTGGGCCACAGTTTAATTTCATCCTTCACCTAATCTGCGGCTTCAGCAAAATAAGAGCACTCTCTTTCTTGTTGGTATTAAGGGATACAAGCACGAATCCCTCATGGATACCTCCAGAGCTCCCTATATACTGTACTCTCTGACCCTCCCCTTTCTGATGCTGAGTGACCAACACTTAACAAAGGAATCAGTTTTACCTTACAGCCCATTTCAGTGAGTTTTGAGTTTGAAATGACATTGTGCTTTTCTTCCAAAACCTTCAATAACATATTTAAATTCCTCAGCCAGGATCTTTCTGCCCTGACCAACAGACTCTCTTACTCACCTCCAGCATTCTCCCTCCACCTGTAACCCTCGCTCTGGCTTCTTATATTCTCTTTAGCTTTTTATTGAAAACTGTTGGTGCAACATTCACTGTCGTGGCTTCTCTGCTTTGGTAGCTCTCACTGAACTTGCTGCACTCTCTTCTCCAAAATCTAATCTAACTTATCAAACTTGCTAACAAGGATGCTGATGTTGTTTGCTGATGTATGCCTCCTTCTACCTTGAAGAAGTTAAGCACCAACATTCATACACTTCTTCCCAGCTTGACCTGGACCATGATCCCACAGACATCAAGCCATTTTTTTTCCCCCAGGATTGTCAATGATATCTTCTTTCCAGCTTCTCACATGTAGTCCCCAACACTAAACAGCCTGCTTCTACCTCCTTCCTGAAATACACAAACAGGTCTGTCCTGGTAGACCTACAATTTCAGCTTGTTCCTGTCCCAGTGAATTTGTGCAAGCATGAACCATGAGCTTATAGTTGCTGGCCATTGTAATTCTCTATCTTGCTCTTAAGTTCATATTTCTGCCCTCAGCCGGTTGCAGTATCCAGTGAAGCTCATCATTATTTTCTCATTAGGCACTTTACAGACTCTTGAACATAATATTGAGCTTAACTATTTCAGACGTAGATCTCTCTCCCCCATTTTGATTCTGTTTATTTTGCTATGTATCAGTTTGAATCTTGTTTCTCATGTTTGGCTTTTGGATAAAGCTGTTCATTATTCTGCCATTTGCCCTCACTCTGGTCAAATGTCTTATCTCTTCACTATAAATACAGTGGTTACAAGAGCAGTCACAGGTTAGGAATATTACAGTGAGTTCCTCACCTCCTGACTCCTCAAATCCTGTCTGCCATTTACACGGCAAAAGTCAGGGGTGTGAAGGAATACTCCCCATTTGCCTGGATGAATGCATCTCCAACAACACTCAAGAAGCTTGACACCATCCTGGATAAAGCAGCCTGCTTGATTGGCACCACTTCCACAAGCATCCAGTCCCTTCACCACCAACACTCAGTAGCAGCAGTGTGTATTATCTACAAGATACACTATAGAGATTCACCAAAGACCTTGAGACAGCACCTTACAAACCCACAACACCTACTACCCAGAAGGGCAAAGGCAACAGATACATGAGAGTTCCCCTCGAAGTTCCCCTCCAAGCCACTTACCATCCTGACTTCAAAATATATCACCATTCCTTCAGTGTCATTGGGACAAAATCCTGGAATTCCCTCCCTAACAGTTTGGTGCCTCTACCTACGTGAACTGGACAATTCAAGAAGGCAGTTCAACGCCACCTTCACACAGGCAACTGGGGACAGGTAATAAATTCTGGTGCAGCCACTGATACCCATATGCCACAAGTAAATAAAAAAAATTATCAATCTCTGCCATTTGTTTCGCGAATTTATTTTTCCATTTAATCTCTCTCTCTAATCTTTTGTATTAACCCAGACCTTCATTTTTGTTCTTGGTCCCTTCAAGTTGAATGAATTTTTGATACTAAATTAAAGAGCACGTTGGCAACTAGCCACTGGCGTGGAGTGTGTTAGGGTGTGAGGAGCCTGCTGGGCCTATAAGAGTTGGGAGATATGTAGAGTGCACATGTGCAGCGACATTTTGTGTATTCACAAAAAAAACAAAGTTATGTGACAAATAATGTCCAAGAAGCAACGACATGGTCACAGGATTCAGATACAGTGTAGTGTCAGAAAATACCAAATGATTGGTCATTCTGTCTCCCTCCCCCTTTAACCCACATGACACATCAGATTTCCACCCTCCCCGAATAAGTTTCATATTCAACTCAAAACATTAAATTTTCTTTCTCCATAGATGCTGCCAGACCTGCTGAGTATGTCCAGCATTTTCTGTATTTAACTCAATTAAACCTCTGTTAAAAAGTGGCATGTGGCATTATAATTCCATAGGCAGACATTAGTGTCAGAGCTGTCATCTTTTGGTTATCATAGATTGCTAAGTGTTATCAACACAGAGAAAGTTGAGATTCCTATTATGCTACTAGATTTACAAACATGGATTGGATTGCCAGTTCACCAGCCTGAAGTTTTATAAGAAAAAATCTCAAATAAAAGCAAAAACACTGCAGATGCTGGAAATCTGAAATAAACACCAAAACTGCTGGAAAAAACTCAACAAGTCTGGCAGCCTATGGGAGAGAGAAACAGAATTAATGGTTTGAATCCAATATGGCTCTCCTTCAAAACTCAAAAGTCATATTGGTCTAGAAGCATTCATTCTGTTTCTCTCCACAGATGCTACCAGACATGTTGAGTTTCTCTAGCATTCTCTGTATTTGTTTGAAGTTTTACAAAACTGTTGTCTGCAATCAGGCCAGAATTTTGCAAACTTTTTCTTGGATATTTTCCCAGTGTTCCTATGATTGAGTAGATAAAGAGAAACTATGGTTATTGCCCATTAGTTAGTGGGGAAAAGAAACATGTACAACTAAGATAATAGGCAAAACAACCAGAGGAGAGATGATGAGAGTTTTATTTTTTGTTT